CTCATATTCAATAATATATATTATTCTTGTAAGAAAATCGAAGACTAACATGAACTCATAGAAAAAAAAGCATTTATTAATATGAAATATTTCTTTTTTATATAGTGTGCTTACAATTACATAAATAATATTTTTTTTATTTGTTTCATTATTTTTTTAAGACTATTGAATTGTTATATTATTTTTTTTTAACTCGGTAGAGAAATGATTATAACTTGAAGTTTGATTAATATTATTTTTCATCCTATTGAGTTTCCCCAAGATGAAAATCCAAAAAAAATAATATTGAGTTATCATTAAAGTAACCTAATAAAATAATAGATCTATTAACTAGTAATATCATTAACTAGTAATAAATTATTTTGAAAAAATATATAATAAAAATTACAAAGAAAAAGTGAGAGAGAGAGAGGACATTTAAAAAAAAATAATCACCTTTATCAATTTTTCTAGTGTCATCTAAGTCTTATTCGGAGGAAAAAAATTCAAATTCATCCTTTTTTTTTTTAATTTTCTTTATGATTTTTAAATTTTTATTTTTAAGCTTTTTAGGTTTTATAAACAGTATAAAAAAACTAAAAGGATTGGTTGGTTAATCCACTATACATTTAGTGCAGGTTGGTGCTGGAGCTAGATCTTCTGAAAGTCTAACATACCACAAGACTAGAGGAGTTCCATTACCTACTAGCTCTACAAAGCCAGTGGGTCCAGCATTTGAAGAGAATACGAAGGAGATATGGTCTTTGTTAATGGATGATAAAGTCTCAACCATTGGTATTTATGGGATGGGAGGGGTTGGTAAAACAACAATATTCAAACATATCTATAATGGTCTTCTACAAAGACCGGATATTTGTGATCATGTTTGGTGGGTGACTGTGTCTCAAGATTTTAGCATTACTAGATTGCAGAATCTTATAGCTAAATGTCTTAATCTAGACCTTGTAAACGAATATGATGATCTGCATAGAGCTATCAAATTGTCAGAAGAATTAAGGACGAAACAAAAATAATTCTCATTTTAGATGATTTGTGGAACAATTTTGAGCTTCATGAAGTGGGAATTCCTGAGAAGTTGAAAGAATGCAAGCTGATTATGACAACTCGATTAAAAATAGTTTGTGATCGGATGGCTTGTCACTTCAAAATCAAAGTGAAGCCACTTTCCGAGAGAGAAGCTTGGACTTTGTTCATGGAGAAGCTTGGACATGATATAGCACCAAATATGAAAGCAATTGCGGAAGCTATTGCAAGGGAATGTGCTGGTTTGTCATTGGGAATTATTACGGTGGCAGGAAGCTTGAGGGGAGTGGATGACCAACATGAGTGGAGGAATATATTGAACAAATTGAGAGAATCAGAACTTAGAGACATGGATGAGAAGGTATTCAAGTTATTGAAGTTTAGTTATGATCGGTTAGGTGATTTAGCACTACAACAATGTCTCTTGTACTGTGCATTATTTCCTGAAGATGATATGATTGAAAGGGAGGAGTTGATAGGTTATTTGATCGACGAGGGAATAATTAAAGGAAAGAGAAGAAGGGGAGATGCATTTGATGAGGGACATACAATGCTTAATAGACTTGAAAATGTCTGTCTATTGGAAAGTGTTAAACTAAAGTATAAGGAAAGTAAAGGTGTCAGGATGCATGACTTGATTAGGGACATGGCCATCCAAATAGAAAACTCTAAAGTCATGGTTAAAGCAGGTGCGCAATTAAAAGAGATACCAGATGCAGAGGAGTGGACAGAGAATCTCACAAGAGTCTCACTAATGCGAAACCAGATCGAAGAAATTCCTTCCAGCCATTCACCAATGTGTCCCTTTCTGTCAACTCTGTTGCTATGTGAAAATCGTCTGTTGGGATTTATTGCGCATTCATTTTTCAAGCAATTGCGTGGGCTCAAGGTCCTCGATCTGTCGCGCACAGGTATTGAAAATTTGCCAGACTCTGTCTCTGATTTGGTGAGTCTCACAGCATTATTGCTCAGCTATTGTGATAAATTAAGACGTGTTCCATCATTAAAGAAGCTCAGGGCATTGAAGAGGTTGGATCTCTATCGTACTGCAGTTGAAAAGATGCCGCAAGGAATGGAATGCCTAACCAACCTGAGGTATCTTAGAATGAATGGATGTGGTGAAAAGGAGTTTCCTAGTGGGATATTACCAAAACTCTCTCACCTGCAAGTCTTTGTACTAGAAGAGGTTGTTCAGGGATGTTATTCTCCGATAACAGTTAAAGGAAAGGAAGTAGTATCCTTGCGAAATTTGGAAAGTTTGGATTGCCATTTCGAAGGTCTATCTGACTTCGTGGAGTATCTCAGATCTTGGGATGGGATTCAATCATTAAGCACATACAGAATTTTAGTAGGAATGGTGGATGCAGATTATTGGCTTGGCAATGATTCTTTGCCATGAAGAAAGCAGCACCTCGAATTCCATCACGGAAGTAATTCTCCCAAAGTTAAAAACTCTGAGTTTGGATAAATTACCAGAACTGAAAAGCATTTGCAGTGCAAAGCTGATTTGCAATTCTCTTTGTAATATTTGTGTACTGGATTGTGAGAAGCTGAAGAGGATGCCAATTTGTCTTCCGTTGCTTGAAAATGGCCAGCCATCTCCTCCCCCTTCTCTTAAAAATATCTATTCAAGTCCAGAAGAATGGTGGGAGACAGTAGTGGAGTGGGAGCATCCTAATGCAAAGGATGTCCTTCGTCCCTTTGTAAGGTTTCGGTTGGAGTGGACTCCTCTGCCCTTAATAGAGGGACCTTTTTCTCCCGAAATAATGAATATGTAGAATGGTTAATTACTCCGTTAAACGTAATGGTTCGTTTACTTCTTTTTTTTTCTATTCATCAATTCCATCCATCTGTAAGAATACCAATCATTTTTGTAATCTTAAATTTTCTCATATTCAATAATATATATTATTCTTGTAAGAAAATCGAAGAATAACATAAACTCATAGAAAGAAAGAGCATTTATTAATATGAAATATTTCTTTTTTATATAGTGTGCTTGCAATTACATAAATAATATTTTTTTTATTTGTTTCATTATTTTTTTAAGACTATTGAATTGTTATATTATTTTTTTATTAACTCGGTAGATAAATGATTATAACTTGAAGTTTGATTAATATTATTTTTCATCCTATTGAGTTTCCCCAAGATGAAAATCCAAAAAAAAAAAATTGATTTATCATTAAAGTAACCTAATAGAATAATAGATCTATTAACTAGTAATATCATCAACTAGTAATAAATTATTTTTAAAAAATATATAATAAAAATTACAAAGAAAAAGTGAGAGAGAGAAGACATTTAAAAAAAAAATCACCTTTATCAATTTTTCTAGTGTCATCTTAGTCTTATTCGGAGGAAACAAATTCAAATTTATCCTATTTTTTTTTAATTTTCTTTATAATTTTTAAATTTTTATTTTTAAGCGTTTTAGGTTTTATAAACAATATAAAAAAAATAAAAGGATTGGGTGGTTAATCCACTATACATGAAGACACATGTTCCTATGCATTATAGGATTGTTTAAGAGTGGTAAAAATTATATTGCAAAATGTTTTTTTGTTTAGAAATATATTAAAACAATATTTTTTTATGTTTAAAATTTATTTTTAATATTATCACATTAAAAAAATTTAAAAAAACATAAAAAAATAATTTAAATTTGATTTTTTTCAAAATGATAATGAGCGTTTTTCCAATCTGTTGGGGGTGATGTTGGTGGGCTTGGTGTTGCTTCAAGTAGCTTTCCAAAGTTTTAACATTACAGCTAATAGCTCCGATTCTTTTGCACATTACCTTGCTTTCCCTAAGCGCTGGCATGACAATACCTTTCATCTTTGAGATGAAGGGCTGATTGATTATAGTTTTTTTTTTATAATGTTTTTTTCTGTTAAAAAAAATTAAAAAAAAATTATTTTTAAAATCAACACATTAAAATATATAAAAAAATTAAATTTTAATAAAAAATTAAATTTTTTAGAAACATAAAAACAACCTAGTTTCCAAACACTCTTTGAAGTAACACTCTTTCCTCGCAACAGGAGACCTGCTGGGCATCAGACGGTCAAAATCCCATGCATTTTTTGCTGTTCTTCATGAAGTTCTATTGTCGGTCCTGCTTTGCCAGCATCAGTCTCCTTCACCAGCCGCATGCAGATCTTTGCTTTTCATTTCATCTGTTAACATTTTTTTTTTTTGAAAAAGAAGAAGATTTATAAGCACTTATATTATTTATTGTACATGTAATATTTTCACAGCAAAGAATATTGTAATGTTAAATACGTACACATAGAACTTCACGAGATGGGGTAATCGGTTAATCACCTCAAACAATCATAAAATCCTTGTTCTTTTGCTTTCAAGAATGTAACTATAAAATAATATTTTTTATTTTTAAAAATGTATTTTTATTCGGTACACAAATATAAAAAAAATAAAATTTGAATAAAAAATAAAATTTAACCAATACCCATTTAAAACGCAATAGCAAAACTGGGATTAAGCAACACAGAATTAACCAAATAGTTAATTGGATAATGATAATTTTGTTGGGCCAGGGAATTAGGTCATTGAAGAACTTTTCAGTAAATAATTAATTACCATGCTCCTATCCACACAATCCAGCTAGCACTTGAAGAACATCTTGAATCCAGGTAAATTATTTGTCATTCATCTTGTCTGAATCTTTAAATAGATAGATCTTTTTCTCAGATTTTATAATCCATGCCCTGTGGTGTTCATACTGATTAAATTAACCCTAAACGTTGAATTCATTTTTTTCGTCTTTCCAAGATTCTTTGCTGTTTTTAACTCCTTATTTTAGATTCACCCTTTTCTTTTCCAATTAATGGGACTGCCATTCATTTTTATTCAATAGTTTTCAACTTTTGTTTCTTACAATGATTCAATGAATTAACTTGATCGGTAATTACCTTTCAATAAACAAGATAAGAATAATTAAAAAAGAATAAATAGGAGTTGAAAGAGGTTTGTTTAACAGGAAACAATGAATCTTGCATTTTTTTTGCTCCCAAAATTATGAATAAAGAGGAGTTGAAAGAGGTTTTTGTTCACCCCGTCAAAACAATCAGCTCTTCTACCTTCAACAGTTATCCTGCATCTTTCTATCTATCATAAAAAGAATTTGAGTATGATGATTTATCTTAAAAGACAAAGGATTAAATCATTAACAACAACATTTATATTTCATATTTTTCACCCGAATTTCTTTAACCAACAAGTAAGTCATATATATGTTCTTTTCTGATCTGTGCTTTCTGTTCTTTTTCTCTTGTCTGGTCAGATGGAAGAGTTCCCACCATCTTCTATAGAGGAGGATGTCAACATGATATCGAATGAGCTCGATTTTCAATCACTACTGTCTGAGCTTGAGCTTGAGCTTCTCTCGTACGTCATTCTTAAGCATATTTTATGAGAAGATGATTGCTTGCAGTTTAGTTATTCTTCAGTTTATCCTATTACTCCCAAAAAACAATATAATGTCGTCACTGTCCATGGAAGCAGGCTGCCACTGGAGGTTCCAGTCAACCAAAGCTCCATATCATGCAATGATCAAGGTGGACAGAACAATGTGATCAACGATAGTATTCAACAAACAACTCCGTTTCCAACTTCATTTCCTGAAACAGTGGTGAGTACTCCAATTTGCTACAATGCCCATTGAATTAGCAATTGTTTGTTTGTATTATACAAAAAGTTTCATGTTTAATGTATCGATCTCGAGCATCTTCAAATTGTTCACTGTTAAACAAACAGACAACAATTGGGAGATTTAGACATTTTTTATGATATTCTTTTATCATTAAGTTTTATATAAAATTGGCCTCAAAACTCCATCAAGGCATCATAATTCCTTTATTCATCAACCTCAGCCGGGACCTGGCTCTATGACACCGAACGCAACCACTTCACAACATGGTGGCTTCAATCAACCGAAATTATCTAAATATGGACTTCAGAATCTTTTGAATCGTTCTTGATTTCTTGACGGTAGAAATAACAGGACTATTATTAAAATAAAAATAAAAATAAATAAATAAATATGCTCAGATTCTTACCACGTACCAATAGAGAAAACAAGGTAGATGTCTCTCTGTTTTTTTTTTTTTTATAAAGCATATTTGTTTTTAATTTCATTTGATAATTTATTTCAATAAGCTTGTTATGGAGCTCTTGTGGTCTAAGAAGAAAAAACAATTCAATGTAGAGTTGATGTTTGACTTAACAAGATTTTGTTCAATTTAATTGATTAAAAATAAGTAAATATTGTTATGAAAAGAAATTGCTATCCAACTGGTGTGCAGATTGGATAGCAAATCAAGCTATGTTGAAGTTTTCTACTGCAGTGAAGCTCCCTCTGGTTGCTTGAAGCTAATGCCTGATTGTTGCGTTCATGTGATTTTGATAAGTGTATGAAAGTCTATTTTATTATTAGTTTGTTTTCTGTATTTTAAAAGTATTTTTTTAAAAAATTATTTTTTTATTTTAAATTTATTCTAACTCTTTTGTTTGATCATTCTCAAAGTCCAAACAACAACGGTACTGTCGAGATTGTTATGCTTATGCCCGCAATCTAAACGTAATTTGTTTTTGTACTCAAGAGTTATGTTTATTAAAAAATCTGGTTATTTTAAATTAATATTTTTTAATACATTAATATTAAAAATAAAAAAATATTTTTGATTACTAAGAATAAATAGGAAGCTTACGAATAGTTAAGAAACGTATTCCAAAGTTTAGTTTATTGGTTGACTCACATATTAACTGAATAACCTGAGTAAAAAAGAATTATGATGGTATTTATTAAAAAAAAAAAAAGAACTAAAATAACATTGTTATTTTTTAACATTATCTTTTTAATTATTTTTATTTTAAAAAAGTTTCGCATAGATGTAGATAAAAAGAAGATGTTTTAATTTAGCAACGATAGAGCATCCACAAGAAAGTATATTATACGGTTATTGATTTTCATTAAAAGAAAAGCTAAGAGACTTGGGAGAATCACTATATATCCACACCTATTTCATTGTAAAGTACAATAGTACGTAATTTAAGGTGTTTTGCCTTTTTTTTTTTGTTTATTTTATTATAGGCTGGTTATTATTCATCTTTAAATTATTAATTTTTTTTATTTTTTTTATAAAATTAACCTGATTTAAAGTTTTATTAAAATAATTCAAATTATATTAATTTTCAGATTTGGTAACATATTTTTTTGTTTATTAATTAAAAGATAACCTATTAATTAAAAGATAACCTAAAAGACGTAAGAGAATCACTATTCACCTATACTCATTTCATTATCGATTACAATAGTAATTAATAACAGTGTTTTGACTTTTTTGTTTTTTTCCTTTCTTTTAATTATTTTTAAAATCTTTTTTTGTCTATTTCATATTTGGGCCGAATTAGCATATATATATATATATATATTGGGTTGTTTAATTTTATAATTATTTATTTTTATTATTATATTATTAAATAAAAATAATTTTTTAAAAAATTATAATTCTAGTTAAGTCCATAATCTAGTTCATGGATTTGATGTAATAGCTAAAATTACCTGATTCACAAGTTTGATAGATTTACCCATTGATTGATTATGTGTTTTTTTTATTCTGGTATTTAATTTTTATTTTAATTTCATCCTTCAATATTAGATTGGTTTGGAAATAAACTAAATGATTTATTTTTATTTGCTTTCTATAGACTTATCAAAATCTTAAATAAATATTTATTTTAGGGATGATATTCAATTTTATAAGTATTTATTTTTATCATATAATTAAATAAAAAAACTTATAAAAAATTACTAAATGATCCAGGTCCCTCATGACCGGGATCAATCAAATTTATCATTATTTCAATAATTGTTTTTTAAAAAAGTTGTTGTCTAGAAGTTTTTTTAAAAGCTAAGCTATGTTTTTCTAGTTGTATTTGGATATTAGTCTCTTTAAACTGAGTTAATTTTTATATAATTTAATTAAAAATTTAAATTAAATAAATAAATTTTAATATTAACTACCTGATTGGGTTTAATAATACTACCAACAAACTTTCTTTACTCTTAACATTTTATTTTTATATTTTTAAAAAATTAATCCACCCACGGAAAGACACTGGCCAAAAAAACGAGGACATATTATTGAGTGGAGGTTTTGTTTATTAAAAGTAAGGATGGAGTCTTTGACTGCATGTAATGGCATAAACCTTTAATCACATGCTATTAATCACATATTTAATCTGTTATTGTTAGAGCACATGCTTTTCAAAAACTTTGAATTATTTTCCATTAAAATTATTATTTTTATTTTAAATAAAAAATATTTTAAAAAGCAAAATATAATATTGTTTCTCATATTCATGTGTTTACATTTTCTAGGCATCTTCTTCTCAGCTTCATAATTGGGTAGGTAAAGTAGTGTTTTCAACTCCTTTTCTTTTCCAATTAATGGGACTGCCTTTGGTTTTTATTCAATATTTTTCAACTTTTTTTTCTTACAATGATTCAATGAATTAACTTGATCGGTAATCACCTTTCATTAAACAAAATAAGAATATTTAAAATATCAAATGTGTTCAAGGGATTCCGACTATCCATCTGCTGTTTGTACAATTTAAGCACTTTTTTCATTAGTCACTTTTATTAAATCATTTAATATTTGCTTTTATTCTTTTAATTTGCTTCAATGTGGAATCGACACTCCAGACAATGTGAGATTATTTTCTTAAGGCTTTCTGCCCTCTCTCTGGTAAACTAGAAAACGGCAACGGTACTGCCAAGATTGTTCTGCCCGCAATTAAAATATAATTTGTTTTTGTACTCAGAATTATGCTTGAGTGCATTTGAAAATCTGTTTATTTTGAAAAAAAAAATATTAAATTAATATTTTTTGATATATTAATATTAAAAATAAAAAAATAGGCTTTTCTTTTCTTAGATTCACCCTTTTCTTTTCCAATTAATCGGACTGCCATTAAAATATGTTTTTCACCATTTATTTGTTTTTCTTTTATTTTGACTTACGTAACGTGTGTACCCAGCAATCCACCCATATATATATATATATATATATATATACACCTTTTTTTTTCTTTGCTACGTGCTTTCTGTTTTTTTTTCCACCTCCGTATTTACTAATTGTTAATTAATATTTATATAGTTTTATTTATTAAAAATAAAATAATATTTTTAGTTTAATCTATATATATTTTATCTATAATTAGATTAAAGTTAAACATTTATAATATTTAAATTATTCAGAATTCTAAGATCTTGTACTTTTGGTCAGATGGAAGGGTTCCAACCGTCTTCTATGGATGATAATCTTCTCGATCTTCAATCACCACTTCTCCCGTACGTCATTCTTAAGCATATTTTATCAGAAGATGATTGCTTGCAGTTTAGTCACTTCAGTTTGTCCTATTATTCCATGGAAGCAGGCCGCCACCGGAGGTTCCAGTCAACCAAGGCTCCATATCATGCAATGATCAAGGTGGACATAAGAATGTGATCAACGATAGTATTCAACAAACAACTCAAATTCCAACTTCATTTCCTGAAACCATGGTGAGTACTCATGCTTACTCCAATTTGCTACAATGTCCATTGAATTAGGCATCATTATTCCTTTATTCATCAACCTCAGACGGGACATGGCTATATGACACCGAATGCAACCACATCACAACATGGTGAATTCAATCAACCTGGACCTTCTTCTCTTGCTCCCTGGTATCCAATCTTTCATGTTTAGTATTTTCTGGAAAAAAAAGAAGTTTTTCAATCATTATTTAAATTCTTCTTCTTCTTCCTCTTGTTGTTGTACTTATCAGTGAATTCATTATGTTTGAACATAGGTATCAGCCTAATCCCAATTTATTTGATCCTCAATGTGCCAATCCCATGTTACCTGGACCGTCATTGCCTTTGAGGTAAGCTAAAATGATATCAAATGCTTAGTGGATTAATAGCTAACAATTATGCATATGTATAAAGAAATCATTAACAAATGTTGCTAATTTCGGGACCAACAATGGACTGATTATCATTTACCAATGAACAATCAAGTGCCTGCGATGTTACCTGGACCTCAACCTCCAATGAATCAATGGTATCAACCTCGAATATACACGTTTTTAATCATGAAAACAATGAACTTGACCAAAATTCACGAGGATCTTTCTTTTTGAGCTCTCTATCTATCTTTTTTGTGAGAATAACAGTTCTATGTTTAACTATTTGAATATTATTCAGGCATCAGAACTCCTTTATTCATCAACCTCGGCCGGGACATGGCTTTATGACACCGAACGCAACCACTTCTCAACATGGTGGCTTCAATCAACCTGGACCTTCTTTTCCTGCTCCCCGGTATCCAATTTTTCATTTTTAGTATTTTCTGTTAAAAAAAAAAACAATTAGTTTTTCTGCATAGTATTAATACCTTTTCGATAACTAGATACACCATTGATTTTTTAGTGCTTAAGAGAGACTACCAATTATCGAAAGTTTTTATAATATGATCATTTCATTTATATATAGGTCACAGATGGATAAACTCCAAGTCCGAGGATTGCAAAATCAAACTGCTATGCCAAATGCCTCTAATCCTGGCCCTGACACTTACTTGCAAAGTCAAAATAGCGGTTTAAATACTCAACAAGTAAGAAGTCTAACTGAATTATCGTAGTCTTTTTTCCCCTATGATTGTGCTATAAACTAACTATCAATTTTGATAGCAAAATAGTTTCTCAATCCGGAAACTTCTGTGCTGTAACTTGATCCGTCAATTTTTATTCCATATTTTGACTGATTTTTTCTATAGGTCGAAATGGTTGGATCAAATGATCCGTTTCGGAATTCTGTTGAAGAAAGTGATAAGGGTAGGATGAAGTGTAAGTTTTGTCCACATACATACGACATTAAAACTTCCATTTCAAGGATCAAATGGCATTTATCAGGAGAGAAAGGGCACGGTGTTGCCATTTGTCGTGGGGTGCCTAAAGAAGTTCAAGAAGCAGCCTGGAAAGCTATGTGTGGTGGCAACAAAAGACATAAAATCACAGAAAGTTCAATCAATGTTAATGATTGTGGAATTTCAACAATGGTAGGAGGTATTGGAAGGGTACAAAGAGAAGTTCAGGTTGTAGAACCGGGAGCAGGGGAAGAGAGGATTTCTTCACAAGCAATAGCAGGAAACGACGAGGTAAGCATGACGGGAATGAGAGCACAAGAAGATAGAGTTTCCAAAGGGGCACTCGAGAGCAGACTGAGGACAGAACCAGCAGATCGAGCGTTGGAACAAAGCAATGCAGTACTTGGCAATTTGGCAGGGGGTGCTGGAAGGATACAAGCGGGAGTTCAGGGGGTGCTGGAACAAGGTGCCGGGGAAGAGAGAATTAATCGGGTTAGACAGAGGACAGAACCAGTGGAGGAGGATGTGGAGAATAGTCGAAGATCAGTGCAGGTTGGTGCTGGAGCTAGATCTTCTGAAAGTCTAAAATACAACAAGACTAGAGGAGTTCCATTACCTACTAGCTCTACAAAGCCAGTGGGTCAAGCATTTGAAGAGAATACGAAGGAGATATGGTCTTTGTTAATGGATGATAAAGTCCCAACCATTGGCATTTATGGGATGGGAGGGGTTGGTAAAACGACAATATTCAAACATATCTATAATGAGCTTCTACAAAGACCAGATATTTGTGATCATGTTTGGTGGGTGACTGTGTCTCAAGATTTTAGCATTACTAGATTGCAGAATCTCATTGCTAAAAGTCTTCATCTAGACCTTTCAAGTGAAGATGATGATCTGGATAGAGCTGTTAAATTGTCAGAAGAACTAAGTACGAAACAAAAATGGATTCTCATTTTAGATGATTTGTGGAACAATTTTGAACTTGATGAAGTGGGAATTCCTGTGCTGTTGAAAGGATGCAAGCTGATTATGACAACTAGATCAGAAACGGTTTGTCATCGGATGGCTTGCCGCCACAAAATCAAAGTGAAGCTACTTTATGAGGAAGAAGCTTGGATTTTGTTCATGGAGAAACTTGGACGTGATGGAGCACTTTCACCAGAAGTAGAAGGAATTGCGAAAGATATTGCTGGGGAATGTGCTGGTTTGCCACTGGGAATTATTACAGTGGCAGGAAGCTTGAGGGGAGTGGATGACCCACATGAGTGGAGAAATACATTGAACAAATTGAGAGAATCAAAATTTAGGGACATAGATGAGAAAGTATTCAAGTTACTGTGGTTTAGTTATGATCGGTTAGGTGTTCCAGCACTGCGAAAAAGTCTCTTGTACTGTGCATTATTTCCTGAGGATGATGCTATTGAAAGGGGGATGTTGATAGATTATTTGATCGATGAGGGAATAATTGAAGGAAAGAGGAGCAGGATAGATGCATTTGATGAGGGCCACACGATGCTTAATAGACTTGAAAATGTCTGCCTAATGGAAAGTGTAAAAATAGGGTATAATGATAGTAAATGTGTCAAGATGCATGACTTGATTAGGGACATGGCCATCCAAATAGAAAACTCTAAAGTCATGGTTAAAGCAGGTGCGCAATTAAAAGAGATACCAGATGCAGAGGAGTGGACAGAGAATCTCACAAGAGTCTCACTAATGCGAAACCAGATCGAAGAAATTCCTTCCAGCCATTCACCAATGTGTCCAAATTTGTCATCTCTAATTTTACGTGGGAATAACGAGCTGCGATTGATTGCGGATTCATTTTTCAAGCAATTGCATGGGCTCAAGGTCCTCGATCTGTCTTGCACAGGTATTGAAAATTTGCCAGACTCTGTCTCTGATTTGGTGAGTCTCACTGCATTATTGCTCATAGATTGTGGGAGGTTACGTCATGTTCCATCATTAAAGAAGCTCGGGGAACTGAGAAGGTTGGATCTCTCTTGCACTGCACTTGAAAAGATGCCTCAAGGAATGGAATGCCTAACCAACCTGAGGTATCTTAGAATGAATGGATGTGGTGAAAAGGAGTTTCCTAGTGGGATATTACCAAAACTCTCTCACCTGCAAGTCTTTGTACTAGAGGAAATGTTATCCGGTGACAGATATGCTCCGATAACAGTTAAAGGAAAGGAAGTAGGATCCTTGAGAAATTTGGAAACTTTGGAATGTCATTTCGAAGGTTTCTCTGACTTCGTGGAGTTTCTCAGATCTTGGCATGGGATTCAATCATTAAGCACATATACAATTTTAGTAGGAATGGTGGATTTAAATTATTGGTTTGATTATTTTCCATGTAAAACAGTTGGGTTGGGTAATTTGGGTAATTTGAGTATCAACCGAGATGGAGATTTTCAGGTCAAGTTCTTAAATGGCATTCAAGGACTGGTTTGCGAATGCATCGATGCAAGAAGTTTATGTGATGTTTTGTCATTAGAGAATGCAACTGAACTGGAGTTCATCACCATTTGGGATTGCAATAGCATGGAGAGCTTGGTTTCATCTTCTTGGTTCTGCTCTGCACCACCACGATTGCCATCATATAATGGTATGTTTTGTGGTCTTAGAGAGTTTAATTGTATTGGATGTAGCAATATGAAGAAGTTGTTCCCACTTGTGTTGCTGCCAAACCTCGTAAACCTGGAAGTGATTAGTGTTAGTGAATGTGAGAAAATGGAGGAGATAATAGGAACAACAGATGAAGAAAGCAGCACCTCCAATTCCATCACGGAAGTCATTCTCCCAAAGTTAAGAACTTGGGAATTGTATCGTTTACCAGAATTGAAAAGCATTTGCAGTGCAAAACTGATTTGCAATTCTCTTGAAGATATTAAGATAAGGTATTGTGAGAAGCTGAAGAGGATGCCAATTTGCCTTCCGTTGCTTGAAAATGGTCAGCCATCTCCTCCCCCTCCTCTTAGAAGAATGATTATGGAACCACAAGAATGGTGGGAGTCAGTAGTGGAGTGGGAGCACCCTATTGCGAAGGAGGTCCTTCGTTCTTTGTAACCTTAAATCTGTAAAAATACTAACAATTTTTGTAAGCTTAAATTTGCTCATATTCAATAATATATCATTTTTTCAATCATTTTTGTTAAAAATCAGGTGCAAAACATAATTATTTTTTATATGAAAATAGTCCTTTAAATCAACAAGGATATTCTTATTAATTAATATTGAAATAATCCTTCATCCCTTTGTACCTTTTTTTTTAACTCGATAGATAAATAATTATAATTTGAAGTTTGATTAATATTATATTTTCATCCTATTGAGTTTCTCCAAGATGAAAATCCTATATTGATTTATCATTAAAATAACTTAATAAATATACTATTCTTTTTATGAAAATTTCATGTGTTCACATTTTCTTGGCAGCGTTTTTGAAGTTTCAACATTGGACGGATCCACACGTTAACTTTCTGTACCTTATAATATAATAGATATATTTAGCTTAGAGGTGTAGTATTTTTTTATTAAAAAATAATTTTAAAAAAATATAAACTATACTTTTAAAAATTAACAATATATATTTTTTGTATGGCTATAAGAAAAACCAAAATTACCTCCAAATTATTTTAATATATTTTTAAATAAAAATATTTTAAAAAATAACAACACTATCAAACATATTTATTTTCTTTCTGCATTTAACCACTATGAACTAGATTTATATACTGCAACTTTATTACTTTTCTAAGCCATATATTCTTCTCTGATCTGTGATTTCTCTTCTTCTTTTTTGTTCGTTTTTGGGATAGAAAGACCAGAATTGTTATTAAAATTAAAAAAGAAAAAACTGCCCAGACTTTTACCATGTACCGGGAGAGAAAACACTAGAGATTAAAGTAGCCATAAATATTCCATCTTAATTAAGCAAACTTGGCAAATGTAATTACACAAATCTGACTTAATACATATTAAAGTTTTTGAAGATTGAATACGTGGTCTTTATTTTTAAATAATTTGAATGTGATAATATTAAAAATATAAAAATATTTTAATATATTTTTAAATAAAAAATATTTTAATACAAGTTATTCTATTAAATGGATTAATTGTTTGATTATATCTTGATCATTTATTTATCAATCTGTATTGATTTAATCTTTTTACTAGAATATTGATTTAATAAAAAGAACCCCTAAAGCATGTACTTACTGCCATGATTGTTATGCCCGCGATCAAAACATAATTTGTTTTTGTACTCGGAATTATGTTTGAGTGCATTTAAAAATCTGTTAATTTTAAAAAAATATTAAATTAATATTTTTAATATATTAATATTAAAAATAAAAAAATATTTTGATTACTAAATCTCATGACATTAAATAGAGTTTTTTCCCCCCTTAATAGAACACTCATGACATTAAATAGAATAACTTCAAGAAAAACACTCATGACATCAAATTATAGATAGCTTGCGAATAGTTAAGACACGTACTTCAAAGTTTAGTTTACAAGGAAGATATTATGAGGTTATTAGTTTTCATTAAGAGAAAAAGCTAAGAGACTTGGGTGGAAGTCAAGAAAATATTTTTATTCTTAGAAATTTGTTTTTGTTTATTAAGAGGCTGCCTTTTCCCCCCCCCCCCCCCTTTTTATTTGTTTTTGTTTATTTTACTATAGGCTGGTTTAGAATTCAGCTAAGACGTCTAATAAAATATTTTTATTCTTAGAAATTTTGTGAAGAACAATCAGAAAACTAATTTAATTAGGGATTAATTGAGTAATTAATTACCTTACATAGGATTTTCTTTTCTTTTATTTTATTTCTAGTAACAGCTGACTTCATCAATCCCCAATAGCCTGATTCTTGGATCACCGAAGCTTGAGACATGGTTCATGCTACAAGGAAAAAAACATGATTGTGTTGAAAACCTTTAAGACTGGACTGTAGTATTCTAACAATAATGTTTGGACCATTTAAGATTGGACCCAACTTCACTTCAACTTTATTTTATATTTATAATAAATAAAAAGCATGATTGTGTTCAAAAGAAATTGCTATCAACTGGTGTGCAGATTGGATAGCAAATCAAGCTATGTTGAAGTTTTGTACTGCAGTGAAGCTCCCTCTGGTTGATTGAAGCTAATGCCTGATTGCGTTCCTGGGTTTTGACAAGTGTACGAAAGTCTAATTTATTGTTTGTTTGTTTTTGTATTTTAAAAATATTTTAAAAAAATAATTTTAAATTTCATTAATTTTTTTTATATTTTTAAATTGTTTTAACATGTTAATATTAAAAATATTTTTTAAAAAATAATAATAACACGTCTAACTGGTGGAATAACTATCATAGAATAAGATAATATTTGATAGAATAAGATAAGGAAAAGAAAAAGAAAAAGAAAGGAGAGCAGGCAAGGAAAGGAATGGCTAATACAGTGAAGGGTAGCCAAATTGTTCAGATTTCCAATTATTCCAACTCTTTTGTTTTATCATTCTCAAAGTCCAAACAACGACGGCACAGCCAAGATTGTTATGCTCGCAATCAAAACATAATTTGTTTTTGTACTTAGAATTATGTTTGAGTACATGTAAAAATCTGTTTATTTTAAAAAAATATTAAATTAATATTTTTTGATATATTAATATTAAAAATAAAAAAATATTTTGATTGCTAATGAATTGCTGAGAAACGTACTGATTGACTCATATATTAACGATTAACCTGGGTAAAAAAACAAAACCACATCATATTATTTATTTATAAAAATAAAACGATGGTATTTATTAAAAATAACAATGTTTTTTTAAATATTATCTTTTAAAAAATTTTATTTTAAATTTTTTTCACATAATTATAGATAAAAAAAAATGTTTTAACGATAGTGCATCCACAAGAAAGATATTATACGGTTATTAATTTTCATTAAAAGAAAAGCTAAGAGACTTGGGAGAACTACTATTTATTCACACCTATTTTATTGTATTGTAAATTATAATAAGTAATCTAATGTGTTTTTTTTATTAATGAACTCATTTAAAATTTAAATTGTTTATTTATTTATTTTTATTATATATATTTTATAAAATTAATGTAATTTACAGATTTGTTATAACAACTCAAATATATATTAATTTACTGATTTAATATTTTTAAAAATTTCATCCAGCCCGGAAAAACATTAGCCACCAAAACTAGCACTAGGTTTTGTTCATTAAAAGTAAGGATGGAGCCTTTGACTCCGTGTGCCTCTAATCAGCAACACATCGGTAACGGCAACGATTGAAAACCTTTAATTTGTCTTCTAATTTTTTCCCTGTTAGTAATTGTTACGTAATCAGATTCGCTTCATGTTCAATAATTGTTTTTTTTTTAATTTTTTTATATTATTTTTAATATCAATATATTTAAATTATAACAAAAACATTAAAAAATCTATTTATCTTTTTTAAAAAACAACTAAAAACAAAAGAACTTTGAATTTTTTTCTTTTTAAATTATTATTTTCTTATGAATGATGAAAATAGTCCTTTAAATCAACAAGGATATTTTTATTAATTAATATTAAAATTACTTGCATGATGCTTTTGGATTAAAGGATTTGGGTCGGTTTGAAATTGTATTGCCAATTTCCATATTTCAAAGAAAAATCGAAGCCTAACATGAATTCATAGAAAGAAAGAGCGTTTATTAATATGAAATATTTCTTTTTTTATATTGTGTGCTTACAATTACATAAATAACATTTTTCATTTTTTTTATTTATTTCATTATCTTTTTAGGACTATTGAATTGTCATATATATATTTTCAACTCGATAGATAAATAATTATAATTTGAACTTTGATTAATATTATATTTTCATCCTATTGAGTTTCGCCAAGATAAAAATCCAAAAAATAAAATAAAATTACTATATTAATTTATCATTAAAGTATCCTAATAAAATAATATATCTATTCACCAGTACAAATCATCTTATATCATTAAATAAATTATTCTTTTAAAATATATAATACAGATTGTCATAACCTAAATTTTGATTTTTTTTTATTTACTAAAAAATTGATGAAAAAATGATTAAAAAAAAAGTAAATGAAGAATAAATTAAAATTTGGGTTAATGGCAACATGATTGGAAAGTTTAAATATTTAATTAAACTCTTAACTAGTTTAATTAATTAAATCAAGAGTTTAATTGAAGAATTAATAAATTTTGAGAATTAATTGAGATTGGAATTAAGTTAATTGAAGAATTAATAAATTTTGAGAATTAATTGAGATTGGGATTAAGTTAATTAATCAAGGAATTAATGAGTTTGAGGACTTAATTAAACTTTAATTTAATTAATTAAAAAAATCAGAGGTTTAATTGAAGAAATACCAAAGTTTGGAGGTTATTAAGAGAAAATTGCTAGAAAATTAAAGTCCAAAGACTAAATTGAATGGTTTGGAAATTCAGGGCTGTTGTGTAAACAACATATCAATTTAGGGATCTAATTGAAATTAACTCATAAATTTACCCTAAATATTATTCTATCTTGGATCAATTATGCATGATTTATTTTAGGAAATACGAAATTAGTTAGTGCGATTCCCATGTCTCTTCATCTCGTTTCCACCTTGATGTTGACCAATATAAATTTATTTTTTTCGAAATTTCGCATTTTTAATTATGAACTTTCTAGGCACTTTAATTTTCTAAACAAATTGAGCTCTTTTGTATGTTCTTAATTATTATTATTTTTTTATTTTTCAATTCACCCACTTCCACTTGGCCTCATTTTTCTCTTTTATGAAGGGCCAGAGGTGCCGTGGTTTTTTATTTATACCGCACCAAACTTCATGGTTTCAGGAATCGAATGGATACTTTATATTATCGTCATGGCTATAATTTTTGTGGGTTTTGGCAGAAAACAAAGATTTGAGAGGGTGACCAAGAACTTGAAGGTTACAAGGGCATTTTCTACTCTAGTTGAGGAATTGAAAGCAATCGGCCAGGGGGAATCACATTGTACGGAGGTCATGGCGCCGGTGGCACTGAGTGAGAGAAGTCCGGTGCTGCTACTTATGGGTGGTGGAATGGGGGCTGGCAAGAGCACTGTCACGAAAGATATTCTCAAAGAGTATGGATTTATCAAATTTTACCTCGTAAACATTAAAAATAACTGTCATGATTTTTCCATTATCTGCATAATTTAAATCTAGAAATAGAGAAATATATAACATGCATGAAAGAAGAGTATCAGCTTCCCAAAAAAACGAAAGAAGACTTTAAGAGTAATAGGGCTTGAACATGTTTTTTTTTTTTAATAAGTAACACTAAAAATGTTGAAAAAATAATATATATTAAAAAATATTTGAAAAATAGCACAAATATAATTGAGTTTGAGAATATTATTTTTGTACACAACTATTATATTTATTTAAAATAATGATCTTGTTTTAAAATATGTTTTTGTAGAGGCTGTTTAGTTATATTTCAAGACAATATTTTTGTAAATTAATTAATCTAAATAAAGTCAACTCAAAATTTTATAAAGATACAGAATTTAAGGTACAATGACTAAGAATAAAAGATGAGATAAGATGATATGATAAGAGAAAGAAATAAGTAAAGCAATAAATAAAAAAGAAATAAATCATTAAGGATACACTAAAAGATGAGATAAGATGATATAATAAGAGAGAGAAATAAGTAAAAAAAATAAAAAAAAAATAAATTATCAAGGATACACCAGAGCTTAATTTTTTATATAAATGGTATCATTAAAATATTTTAAGGAGAAAATTCTAACTATAATTTTGAAGAATATTAAATGAGATTGTAATTAATCATAAACTAATTCTAAATAAAATCTTTAATAAATTACAATTATGTTTGATGATTTTTATATTTGTTTTGTTAAGATTTTTTTAATGATATTGATTGTATTAAAAATAAAACTTTAATATATCCCTGATAATTTGTTCTTTCGTGATCATTAGAATATGAATCTTATTTATTGGTTATTAATTTTTTATAATTTTTTAAATTAATTTATATATATATATATTAATTAAATGTAGAGAAACATAAATTTTTAAATAACTACATTGAACCGCTATTCTCCATAGTAATTCTATTCAAATTATCTTATTTCTCAGATATTTTTTTAACTTGCGTTCCCTTCCCGAAATTTTTATCAAGACTTGTCAGGAATCTAGAACACCCCTTTTAACAAGCCAATTATCTTGTCGGAATTCGATAAATAATGGGGCCCGGAGTAAAGATAATTTTGCTTTGGAAAATAGCGCATGCATTGTGATTGTGATTTGATGGGACACTGATCATTAAATAAATGGGCAGACCGTTCTGGTCAGGAGCAAAGGCAAAGGCGGTTGTGGTAGAGGCTGATGCATTCAAAGAGTCGGATGTCATCTACAGAGCCATTAGCTCCATGGGCCATCACGATGACATGCTTCAAACTGCTGAACTGGTAAATACTCCATCCCCTCTCTTTTTTTCCACCTGAGTAGAGATTTCTAGCTTTAAAAAACAAAACATTCCAGTATCATAAATTTGAAATCAATCCCATTCTGTAATCTATCTTGTTGTTTGCTATAGGTGCACCAATCATCAACCGATGCTGCATCATCACTCCTGGTAACTGCACTGAATGAAGGACGGGATGTAATCATGGATGGCACCCTTTCATGGGAGCCTTTCGTGGAGCAAACAATTGCCATGGCTCGTAATGTGCACACATGTCGTTACCGAATGGGACCAGGGTATCAGGTTGCTGAGGATGGGACCGTTGATGAAAATTACTGGGAAATGGTAGGGCAAGAGGAAGAAGACCAGCGATTAAACAACGAGAAAGGAGAATTAACTGGCAGGAAACCATACAGAATAGAGCTGGTTGGAGTTGTCTGTGACCCTTATCTAGCTGTTGTTAGAAGCATCAGGTAACAATCGAAACATGATAAAACTAGCTGTGTAGTAATCAATATCATTCTCGTTGATTGTCGTATGGTACATGGTAGTAATGAAAGAGGGTATGTTTTTCTGGGATTTTTGAACAGGAGAGCCATAACGACAAGAAGGGCAGTGAGGGTGAATTCCCAGTTGAAGTCCCACAAGAGATTCGCCAGCGCATTTGAAAGATACTGCCAACTTGTTGATAATGCCAGGCTTTATTGCACCAATTCAGTGGGAGCACCGCCTAGTGTAAGTACGACTCTTCCATCAGGTTTCTCCGCCATGCATCCCGTGCTTCTTCTCTTCTTTGTCGTAGTGACAAATGCACAGTGCCTCAAAGCCAATGGGCAACATCTAAAACAACACATCGATTAGGGAAGAGAGTCTGCCAACCACCCTTGTCTTTTGTCGGGCCACCATTCTATTTGAATCACTCTCTAACGCTTGACATGCCAAGAGTCGAAATCTATTGAAATAAATGAGACCCATCACCCAGCTGTCAGTTCTAAGTACACTGATAAATGTGAGCTGGGAATCCCAGATTGTGGTCCAGTATATGCACTATTCTGTACGCGATCTCGAGGCCTCGACAAGAAATGGACATACAACACGCTGCATTATGTATGAAAATTAGCCCCACCTTCCATGCCTCGTAGCTTAGAACTAGCAGCAGTTATCTTAGTTCTTGCCTGTAGATTTTCATTCTGATATCGATTCAAAAGACAAAAGGGAACTGCTTTTTTTTTTTACACTGACTTTGATTGGCACAAAATGAATGCAGCTGATAGCATGGAAAGATGGGGACAACAAGCTCCTGATTGATCCAGAGGGGTACAAATGCCTGACAAATGTAAGCAATTTGAGGGCTGATTCAGAATCCATCTACGAGCTTTACCCAGACCCAAGCCCCATTTTCGAGTCGGGCTCTGTTTGGAAAGACATCGTCATGGATCCTTCCAGGCCCACTGTTCAATCGGAGCTCAGAACCTCTATTCTAAACATCGAAAAATCATGATTGTGCTTTCTGCCTAATGGAGATGCTACGCTATTAACCTTGCATTATTTTACTCTTTTCGTGAAATTTAACCTGTGTTTATGAGTTTTAAAAGAATATATTTTTTAAAATTTTTCATGATGCTTATGTAATGATACTAATTTTTTTTTAAAAATATTTTAATATATTTTTAAATAAAAAAATACTTTAAAAAAATATAATCCATAGCCATACCTGTTAACGCTAAAACTAATAATTCCATTTCAGATAGAAGTTGAATTACATAGAAATTATTTGTACTAAAAAAATCAAGCAATTCTATACCCAAATAACCCCAAGTAAACCCTCAATTTACAAATCCTGTCATTCCATCCACACAAACTGCTTTCACTTCTTGGCCTTCCTAACTGCCTTCTTCACCGGCGACTTAATACTCTTGGGTTTCTTTACTGCCTTTTTCGCCGGAGTCTTATTTTTTGCCGATACAACAGCTTGAAGGAGTTCTTGACCTTAACTAGCTCGCCATTAGCAACAAGTTTCTTCAATTGAACAAGCAGCAGTTTCTTGATAAAAAAATAACATTAAAAAAAATATTAACCGGGTTGTTGATTTAGTTTATAATTTAAACAATTTATTAGTAATGAATAAACTAGCAAAAAAATAATAATGAAAAACAAAAAACCCTCTCTCTTAGTCTACCTAAATTATAAAATAACTTAGTATTAGAGGAAAGGACTAAAAAAATAAGTAAATCGGGTTAACTCGTTAATGTCACGATTATAAACATATAATTAGAACAATCAACCAAAAACAATGTATAAAAAAAAAAATGGAAGGCTAATTCTTAATAAATCAAGTTATAAAAATGATATCTTCATAATAAAAAAAAAAAAAGCTTAATCTATAGCAAATAAAACATTAAAGAATGAAAATTAATACATGTCGCACCTGATATCGCGACGGCCTTAAAAATAATTTAAATGGAATGGAAAGAATGGATTTCTGGCATCCTGTTCTTTGATGGGGAATTGTCTTGTTTAAGGAGTCGCCACCTAGTATTATGGTTACTAGGAACCCTAACTGGTCAATAGAGATTTTATGGTCCGAGACTTGTTACGTAAAAGAGAAGATATTATCACCCCTTAAACATCCTGCCTAAAGCAAACTGCATTGCTGACTTTGTCAATAATTGCTAATGTTTTGTTGGCTTATGCTATGATGGTTTTGCGTGTAATATTCCTGACTCTGGCGTCAGTGAATATTTAACTACAGATATTTCCAACTCTGGCGTGGGTAAATATCACGTAGCTATAAAAACAAAATAATTTTAAATCAATTATTTTTTATTCCCGACTCTGGCGTTAGTGAACAAATAAATCAAATAAATTTATTTTTACGCATGTCACAAAAAAAAAAAAAAATTTAAATCAGTATTTTTTATTCCCGACTCTGGCGTCAGTGAATAAATAAATAAAAATAATTTATTTTTATGCATGCACATATAACCAAATTTTTGATTTTTTTTTATTTACTAAAGCTTGTTGATAAAATAAAAAGTAAATGAAGAATGAATTACAATTTGAGTTAATGAAAACATGATTGGAAAGTTTAAATATTTAATTAAACTCTTGACTAGTTTAATTAATTAAATCAAGGGTTTAATTGGAGAATTAATAAATTTTGATATTTAATTGAGCTTGGGATTAAGTTAATTAATTAAATTAAAAGAAATTGAGGAATTAATGAGTTTGAGGACTTAATTAAATTTTTATTTATTTAATTAAAAGAATCAGGGGTTTAATTGAAAAAATACCAAAGTTTGGAGGTTGTTTAGAGAAAATTATCAGAAAAGTAAAGTTCAAGGACTAAATTGAATAGTTCAGAAATTCAGGACTGTTGTGTAAATAATGTATCAATTTAGGGATCTAATTGAAATTAACCGAAAAAAATTAAAAGGAATTTTAATTGATTAAGGGGTCCAATTATCGAATTTCCAAAGCCCAGGGGTCAAATTGAAAACTCCCGTTTCCAGCCAAAACGCTGTTGTTGCCATGTCTTCTCCATCCCGCGTCAATAGGGAAGTTTCCGATTCAGCAGGGGAGCTGATAATCTGTAACAAACCCGATCTTGGATAACATCTGTTGCCAATAATCTCGTTCAAGGATTCCATAACACAGTCCTGCAAAGACAGGACTGGGGCAGAGCCAATTTCTCTATAAAAGGGAGAAGAAAACCAGGCGTGAAGGGGGGAAAAGCTAAAAAACGAGGGGGAAAAAAGAACAAGAGGAGCAAAACAAAAGAAAAGGCAGAGCAAAAACAAAGCGAAAAACCCATAGCACCGGTTCTGCACTTGCTTTCATCCCTGCGGAGAACAACCCAAAATAAACTCACAGCAGGCTGGCATCATCTTCTTAGTGTTAAGGGTTGTTGAGAAAAAGAAAGGAAAACACAGACCAGTGAGCATAGAGAAGGCCGTGAAAACGAAGGGAAACAGGAGAAAAAAAAATAGCGACGGGAACCGAAGAAAAATCAGAAGAAAAAACCGAGAGGGAACCAAGGAAAAAACAAAAGAAAGGACTGAACCGAAAGAGGGGGAACGAGAGGAGAAAAGGAATGGACGGCGAGAGTGTCAGGATAATAAAAGAGCAAGAACAGAGAGACTATACAGAAGGCCCCATGAGAACGAAATAAATACAGAACAGGGACAGGCAGGAAGAAACCAATCAGAGAAAAGCAAGAACAAAAGAGAAGGGAAGAGAAAGGAGTTTAGCCGACGAATCTTTCATCACGTTTTCATCTTTATAGCTACTAGGTAAGTAAGCTTCTCTTTCCCCGCTTTTCATTTTAATTCACCGGTTACTGTTTACTTTGAATTTCAATTCACACATTCTAACCTAATTCCTCTGTTATGTCCATGCACGCGTGAAATCAACCAAATCACTTCACGCGTGCTTTCTTTGATTTTTGCCCAGCCGGGTCACTGGCTTGGGCTAGTGACCAGGCCGGGCTGGCTGGGTCAAACCCAGCCCACATGGGCTGAGCTGGACCCAGCCCAAAACGAATATATGCTGAGCTGGGCTGGGCTGGAATAAAAATAAAAAAAAATATAGAAAGTAGAAAGTAGAAAAAATAAAAATATAAAAAGTATGTAAAAAAATATGCATGCAAAAATAAAATAAAATAAAGTAAATTTATTGGTTTATTCACTGACGCCAGAGTCGGGAATAAAATAATGATGTAAATTTATTTTATTTTATTAAATTTTACTTTTATTTAGTTACATAAAAAATATGTATGCATGAATAAAAAATAATATAAATGTATTGGTTTATTCACTGATGATTAGTACTTAAAAGTGCATTCTCATTAAGGATTTATGTCATCATATTGCACCTAAAGTATCATTAAATTCCCTAACAAAAGCATGTTTTATATTAGCAAGTCTAAAAATATAATATACCTTTAATTCATGGTAAATATCCATCCTAAATGCAGGTCTATCACATAAATAAAAGGATTGATTGATGAGTTTAAGGATTGAAATTGAAAGGATAAAAAGAAGGCCAAACTTAGCAAAGTGTTGCTGGTGCATTCCAAACTCGAATACCGTTCAGTAATTTGATCATATCTGGAGCTGTAGATATCAGATTTAGGTCCATTTTATATCGATGGAAAGGTAAGACATAGACCTACAACTTTCATATGAAGTCAAAGACTCAGTTCTGCCGTTTTCAAGCCCAAATCATAGCAACAACGAAGACGTCGGAAGCTGTCCTGCAGCTCAAGCACTATTCGGTTTTTGGCTCATATCTTGAGTTCTAGAAGTCCAAATGAGCTCTGGTTTTTTTTTTATGGAAAGCTGAGACAATTGCCCACAGCTTCCACAATTCAGTTGGCTATAATTCTGATATGAGCAATGACGTTTTGGCCAGCCAACAATATCAAAAATCAGCCCACAATATCAAAAAACCAGCAGCCATTAATTTCAAAAACCAGCCACCAAATCAATGGATGCCCACCAATTCTTCAATCAATCAATAGTTCTGAAACTTAGCCTATAAAAGGAGGCATTGTCCATGTATTTAGTCATATTAATTTTCAGATCAAAGTTATCTTCTTGCTTTCTCTCTACATCTTTGTAATGTTCAAGTTTTCTTTTATGCTATAGTAATCTCTTGTTTATGCTCTTTCATTTCCTTTCCTATACTTAGTTAGCTTATATTATGTTTATGTTCTTATATTGTTTATTTGTGTTTTTCTCCTTCTTAATGTTTAGCTAAGTTAATTATGTCAAGGTGAAAAGGTTTCTCTAATGGTGTTAGAATAGGTATAATATAAACTCAACATTAGCTTTAAATGTTTATATCCAAGAAAGATTGTTATTAACATGTTTTATCTTTTTATCTTACTAATTCTTAATACCTTGCTTATTAAATGTTTAATTTAGATTTGTGTTGTATAATATTTGGTACATCAAATGCTTGATCTTTCATAGTTTTCGGCCGAAATCGTTATTATGATAGAAACTTGATTTGTTGTTAACATAAACTAGCAACATGAATGCTTGATGATATTTATAAGTATGGTATTACTTATATAAGATAATTAATATGATCATGTTAGTAATTTATAATGAGCTAATAACGAGAAATCATCCGATTAGAACCTCCTTTGTGTGTGGTTTCTAGTTGAGTAATAAAAAGAGTTTATATTATATTTATTTGAAATACCATTAGTGAATCCTATAACCTTGGCATATGTTTTGTTATTGTTTAATCCTTACATCAATATCACATCCCAAAACTTTCTTCAACTCCTTTTCTGTTATTATTCTCTTTAAATCTTTTTCTTTATTTGTAATTTATATAATTCACCTCCCTGTGGTTCGACCCCGGTCTTGCCGGGTTATTTTACTTTGACACTCCTGCACTTGGGATAAGACATCAACTCTTTGATCGTGTCAATATTATACTTGTTTGACATACCATTAGTGAATCCTTTAACCTTGACATTTGTTGTTATCATTATTTAATCCTTACGTTAATCTTCCATCTCAAAGTTCTCATCAACTTCTTCTTCTTCTTTATTATTATTATTAGTGCT